TTCTGTTGATATTTTAGTGCGTGTGCTGGTTTCTCAAAGATCATTCCAAGTGATTTTCCTTCCAGCTTGCGGGAATCTCATTCGAATGCAGTAGGATAAAACAAACAATTGATCTTAACCTAAAATGATCATTAACATCAACTTATCGGCGCAATGATCATTAGAAGCTCAACTATTTTGAAGCGTAACTTATGAATAACAGACAAATTGTATTATTAATGGCGATTTATTTGCACTTTGAATAAATTTAGCGTATACCAAATTGAACTAGATTTATAAAAACCATGCCATAATGTGGCCCCGCTATATTATAACATTTATAAAGGCGATGTCGATGCTTTAAGTGTACTTATGAAGTTTTCCTGGATCACGTAACAGGCTGGTCGGTTATTGCTTCCTTCATCATCTAGATTCTAGAACTATATGCTACAATGAAATCGACCTAGAGTATGATCGAGAGGGATTCAAAAAAGCTTCATTCAAAGAGTTCATCATATATATATGACTGAGCTGTCCCATCATCTTTTCGATTCCCAGGATAAACACAAAAACCCTACCCTATTCCTACCCTTCTCCATCTTCCACGACAAAGGAAGACATTGGGAAAGATTTGTAATACCTTTCGTTCAGTTGCTTCATCCTTAACTTTAGGTCAGCAGCACTGCTCAATAAATGAAGAAGATCTTCTCTAGTATAGTCTGCTAGTGAAAGCAAACTTCTTCCTTTCATCGAGATGTCCTGCTGTCGACATATCTGAGCATGATTTGTAGATGCAACACTGTGGGCATGAAAAGGTAAACAATAAACTAACTCTGTTTTTTATTTGTAAAAAAAAGTAGTTTGGGTTGATTTAAATATGTATTTCCTACCTTTTTGGTGATGTAGATTGTTTTCGAATATGAGTAACACATCTGAGTGTATTACATCGAGGCAGTGTTCGATGAATCCACATTCTATGTAGTATGTTTTTACCAAGTTTCTCATATATATGAATATTATTTCTGTACTTTATCCAATTGCGTAAGGAATGAGAAAGTTTTATTTGTATATATATATATATATATATATATATATATAAATACTAATATAGACAGTATTTCTACATTTTGTAAGCCGATAATAAAGGACGTAACCATTAGGGCTGGGCATTTTCGAATACCTGATGATTTCAGAATCGAATCGGATAATTTTTTCGAATCGAATCGAATCTCGAATACTTGGAAGGTATGAAATTGTATGTAACTTTCTTATTATTTTAGGTCCTCCAGACACATAAATTACTGAAAACATAGAATACATCACTGACAATAAAAAAAAACACGTTTTTCATCAATACCTCAATACAGAAAAGAGTCATAAGTCAGAATTGTGTTGAAAAAATATGGCTTCAATGATAAATAAAATTGAGAAATTTACCTCGACCATTGGCGGAAAGAGTAAAACAAGATGGCGGCGATTCGAAAATTTGCTCTCAACCGATTCGAATAATTTACTATTCGATTCGATTCGAAATGCCCAGCCCTAGTAACCATTCAACGGTAGCTGCATCGTGTGCACTCACTTTTCTCACACCTTTCTCTTCAAACTAGTCGTTTACTTCTTCCGATAACACTCACATATTTTGCTATCTCATATCCGGGCCTACGTTGCCAAAGCTACAAGATTGTTTAGCGTATTTTAAGTATGGTGAAGAAATAATGAACTACTGGGCAGTTCACCGCATTGACGTAAATTATTTAAAATGTAGGTATCAATTACAAATGAATTAAAAGTTAGTCATTCGTGGTAAATGCCTAAAATTGTAGCTTTCAACAGAAATGACAATTCATATTCAAACAATGTTTACTCCTTCTAATATTGAGATTCTCAAAGGATAGGCTTATATAAATTTCGTTACAAATTTAAATGACAATTTCTGCCATATCTTTCCGGTTTCGGCATTAATGGATAACTATACCATACTCCAAGTTTGAAGCAAAATCAATAGCAAACCTGAGGGAAAACAGGTGCGACAACCAAACTAATTGCGACTTTCTGGCATACTGCTTTTAGGAAGCAATGTTTTTAAAAACATGTGCGGAGGCACTTTCTCAGTTATGAAGAGTTTTGAATCTTACACTAAATGTAGGTATAGAGAAAGACTTTGGCACGTTTTAGTGAGTTTTTTTTTTTGTGATTTTCGCATGTTTTAGCTTGATAAATGAGTCAAATGACAAATATTGATCACTGTGTTTGCACACTAGAAGTGTTTGTTCTGTATTGCGCTGTTATCTATTCTTGGCACTATTGTGGTCCCCGAAGAATGCAAAAATAAATTTGTGGCCCCGGAAGCGGACAACTTTGGACCACCCTGCTCTAGAAAATCTAATTAAAAGCTTGCTTCCAATTAATTACCGACCCTGCTTTATTGCTGCCCTGAACGTCTTCATAACGTTATAACGCAAGAATGTCCTCCTAACAAGTGCGTTCCATTTCTGTTGATACTTTAGTGCGTGTGCTGTTTTTCTCAAAGATCATTCCAAGTGATTTTCCTTCCAGCTTGCGGAATCTATTCGAATGCAGTAGAATAAAACTAACAATTGATCATTTAAAAATCTACACATAAGAAAGAATAAAATAACAGTCTTCCTAGCACCGTTGTAATAATTTAGTACAAAAAACCTTGGTGAAGACATAAAACATAAATTTTGCAATAAAAGGCAGACCTTTATCACGCTTCAGTGATATATATATATATATATATATATATATACCATAAAAGTAGTGAGAGACGTAATTCACAGCGGACACTATGCCTTCAGAGAACCGCGACGTATTATGCATATATACACATGTTTCACGCACTGTCCAGTTCGTCATTTTAAGAGCTGGAAATATCTTGTGATAATATACTTATCGTGGCGTAGGCTACTTTGTGTGCTTTTGGAGGATTTCATTCAGGTGGGCAACTGGTTAACTATTGACCAGACTTCACAAATATATATAATTCAAAAATATAATTGATGACGCCCTGTTGTGTAGTATATATTCGACTATAGTATATATATATTATCGAGTATATATATATTATATAATTACAACTTTCATGGCTGAAAGGTATTTTCCCAAGTCTTCCAAATCCGGTGCTCCCGGAGGGGAGCCCCCCAAATCCAATATGTCCAATAAATGAGAATTATGAAAAAGACGTCATTTGATTCAGATTTTAGCTCTACGGCAATTGATCTCGGCACTGTTGATTTGTAGTGTTATATTAGTGTAGTACAAACTTATTCACTTTAATCTTGTCCATTTAGTTTTTCATGGTGGCTGTGGAATGTACCATAGTTTTCTACACGAAATGTTCATTTTCTTAATCGTTGTTGTTGTTGTTTGAGCGACTGTATTTGTTGTGAAAAGTACAAACGATTTCGATTTTTCATTAGGTTTACTCAAAGATGGAATTACAATAATGTTTTATCAAATCAACTTTTGAGTGCTCTGGTACCAGATATTTCACCCAATAATTTGTTTCTATACATTCCTAACTCACGGGTACACTTTTTCTTTCGCCAAGCGTAAGTGTCTCCGTCAAATTTGTCTCTAGATTTTTTCAGAAAACTTGGGGCTAACCTTCACCAGTTACCGTTAGCAATAGCCAAAGCAAGCGGGAATCATGCAAGGCCAGCCTCATTTGTCAAGGTTTACACGAATGTGACAATTAAAATACAGCAACAAGTAAGGGATTTTTAATGTTGAATAAGTATTCACTGTTTAATTAATTTGTAGGCTATATATCTTTTTTTGCCTGAAGAAGTTAGACTATGATCTATCGAAAAATAATACTATTCCACGGAAAGAGATTATTTTGTTCTTATTTATAGCTAATATTGCTTAAGAAAACAAAATTCAAACATGTTCTCCACCAACTATAGGTAAGTAGAATATTGCCAAGCAAAAGTCAAAACATATTAGGAAACCACAATTCTTAATCAGACCAACAGCAAGACCCAACGGCACATGCTCAAATATTGTCAGTGCGAGTAGTTTAGTAGAATTTATAAGCATGTTGTTATGAGACCATTAAGCCAAGCAGAAAAAAACTAAATCTAAATCATTGAAATCATCAGTTCGTCCAAAATGTTGTCCAAAAACCCGAAAATATTACTATTTCTCAACCAACATAGGGAAATATTGTCACTTCGGATGTTGCAACAGTATCCTTACTGTCGTCACATAGAAAGTAATGTATTATATGTATTGTCCAAAAACCCGAAAATATTACTATTTCTCAACCAACATAGGGAAATATTGTCACTTCGGATGTTGCAAAAGTATCCTTAATGTCGTCACATAGAAAGTAACTTGACTGGTAGTTATGGAGGATAAAAAAATTCGTGTCTAAATCGACAAGAGCATTCATACATCTCTAGGTTAAATCTTTTATAGTACTTTGTAATATCGTACAATGCTTTCAAAAATTAAAGCTGGGTGGGACAACTTAGTCATTAATTAGTCCGTATATTCAATAGTTTGCCATGCCCAGATCCAACACGTTCACACGTCTCATAACGCATTTAAAATCTTGCATGTTGTCGAACATTCACAAATCTGATGGAAAAGATCATAAGTAGTATGGTATGTTGTTTCCTGAAAGTAACAATCGTAATATGCGTGATAATCGTTGTGAGCAAAAAATATTTAGTTCGATTAACCGTTATTAACTCGAACGGCATAGAACTGACGCTACTCATTACAAAACAAGCGTCATACAGCAGCACTTATCACATAAATCTGTGTGTAGACAATAATAAATTTAAGATCAATTTTTGTTATATGTATTAAATGTCGGGTCGTTCGAGGGCGGCAATAAATTAGCTCGCGGGCCGCAGTTTACCGACCAATTTTTTGTCACTGTGTTGTTTTTGCAATGAAATTGAACTAGGCCTACAGCATCACCGTTTTGCGCCAGGGAGTGTTTTTTTGTTGTTCCATGTTTTTGTAGGAAAAGCATTGTTGTGTTACACATACACGTCTCACATTTTAATTTAAAAGATAGAAGTTTATTGCATTCAATTATTTACTTCAATTTGCTGTTTTTGAATCGCGTTTTTCTGTGTTTGTTTTATTCTTTTTTGGTAGGCGGGCACGTAAATTGTACGCTTTTTTAATTTTTTTTAAGTTATGCTCGTCTCCCAGGTATCACTGGATTTTGTTTTTTTGCTTACTCTTTGTATTGTTTATGTCAGAGAACCAAAATAATCCAATATAATAAATGTCTCTTAAGTTTGAATCTGAATTCGGACGTCATTATCGGGCTTTTAATACTGTCAGGCGCAATAGGAAAGGTCTATCGTATGAAAATCCTATGTATAGACATTGTTTCCATAATTTCCATGTACATTGTTCCATGTAATTTCAAAATTTGGCTTATTTGGTTATTATAACCAACTTTATTCTAACAAAACTTCATACACCGCCAGTGATTACAGACAGAGGTAAACCAAATCCGTATAGGTAAACAAACCTCACGGCGGGAAATTTCTGCAGAACATCTATCGGCCGTAGGTTACCGTACTTGATGTAATTGTTCTGTTATTATTGCAATGTTAATGAATTTATGGAATTGAGCAGTGAATATATCATCGATCGGATTCTTACTATCTGTGAATCCGGTCAAGATATTGTTGCTGAAATAGAAGGAAATACAGAGGAATCAGACGAGTTATATTCATCGGCCAAGACAAGGTTTGTTTTAATTCATGATTTCTGCCAGTCTCATGGGTACAGTATAGCGAAGCAAACGCCATAACGGTTTAAAACATCAAATAAAATGCGATGTCAAAATACCTGGATACAGCCAAAATTTTTATTTTAACTTAAGTTAAATAAAAGTTCAGAAGTCTGCATTCTTGTTTCCGAATTAGACATAAAATGATGATAGATAAAAATCAGTTAATGCAAACCCCACTGTCCCCTTTTATGAGACAGTATAGGCCTGCATAGCGCCACAAGTCAACTTCGCAATGAATTAAAAGATGAAGGAAGTGCTACAATCTACAAACGTCAGTATTAAATTCCTCAGAAAAAATAATCCGATCTACCGGAGAAAATCTTTTTACTGTAGCATTCAGTAATTTTCAGCCAAAAACGTAATATTGGTCATGTGACAATAAAACATGGCTGGTCTGCATCGTGCCAGACACCCTTGTTTGAGAGATAAATAGAGTGTTTGTTTTATTGAAATAGTATTTTCTGACATCTTGAAAACGGAGAACTGTGCCCTATTGTACTGTATAACTTTGCTCGCTCAGTGATTAATGTTCTTTATTTCTGGGTGATTCAGTGCTTAGGTGTTAAACTGTTTGGAGCGAGGTTCCGCAAACCAAAACATATCATTTAGGGTCCATAACACAATGCAGCAATGACAGATGATTATCGATATTGTTGCATTGTGGGATAACTCGATTTTGTTTCTTTCATAATATCATAAATCTCACTTCAATATAGACTATATCCACTTCGATCAACTGCAGAACTGCTTCATTGTCTTATTTCTGATGCAAACACCAGCTGTTGAAGTCTTGTTTTTGAATCGCTTTTCAATCAAAAGGGTTTTGAAAAGGGTCCATATATATGAAACAAATTGCTGCTCAACTATTTCCATACCCTACCTCAACCGAAAACAAAACGAGACACCTTAAATCCTGAATTTTTGATGGACTATTTTAGCCTATATCTTCCAGATTTCCAATTTTCAATTCCAGAATTTTTGCAACACTGTCAAAGTTAGAAGATGGTTTTTCAGAGTTGAGGAAGATATTTGATGGAACATGTTCAAAATCTATTTGTGATAACGAAAAAGACAATCCAAACGATGCCTGCATTATTGTTGACACAAGTTCTGAATCGTATGAACTGAGTAATAAATCTGCTGAACCTGGAATTAGTGATGTTACCAGCACATCAGATGAAACACTGGTTTCTGATAAAAAATGGATATTCAAAAACAATGGGTTAGTTTTAACTAGTGTTTTATTGGCAAAAAAAGTGTTAAAATCTAAGTTTTTTCATTTGTTATATTTCCAGATTGTTTTGTCTCTGTATGGGGCAAATAAACTAACTTCATAGCCATTTCTAGCATCTTCTTTTTTCACTCCTAGACCGTCTCATTTCTGTAATTACTGATAATCAGTTTTTAGTCATTTTTACCTTTTTGATTCAGAAAATTAAACATTACTAGTGCATGATGAAGCATTTCCGAAATTTACTATTTGAATAGTCTACTGTCTAGTATTCACTAAATATATTCCAAATGATTCTTGATTTCTAATTTTTGTTTTTGCTATTTTCAGAAATACGTCGTCATTGTCCAATTCATCAGAAAGCAATAAGACAATTTCTTCCGAAGCAGCTGGAAAGGACAATATATCAAATTCTGAAGTTTCATCTGGAAAGCCGAAAAAATTTTTTGTCATTGAAGATGACATTGATTTTCTGATTGAAGAAGAAGAACAAGCTGAATATGAAAAGCAATTCAACAATTGTGCTATTTTCCCTAATGATTCTTCCATAATAGAACCGAAAAGCAATACCAATGTTTCAAAGATTACAAGTCATGAAGATGAGGATTTGTTTGAAGATGATGACTTGGATCTAGCTGAAATTGAGGTTTGTTACCAAAATACTTCAATCTGAATAATATCAAAAGCCATTTCTCCAGTCTGAATTGCTGGACTTCTTGACTTCTAATGTTTCCTTTTTTTCTATATAAATTACAGAAAATAGAGAGTTTAGTGTCATCTGGTGAAGCAGCCAATAATATTGAAAACAAGGTAATATTTTTCTCAAGCTCGTCATTTTATGTTTGATCATTCCATTGACCATAATTCAATATTCATATTTTTATATTTAGAAGTATGATATTCCTCTGAGTGAAAAAGGTTATGATTATCAAAATAAGGTAAATATTTTGATTATATTCACCTAGCATATTTTCTCCATTTTTTCGATTTTCCTGTGAACAAAACTACTACCTTGAGTGAGTTATGCTGCAATACCTTATTATGGACTCCTTATTGAAGCCATCATACAAACAAACAACATCATGTCATCATAGAATCATGGTTGAAAATAATATTAAGATAAAAGTATTTATTTCATTTCATTCACAATTTCAACATGAACAATGTTATATCTTCTATCTGGCTATATGCAGTGGAAAAATACCTGTGAATATAGTTTATCATCGAAATTTTTTTTAAATGCTGTGCAAAAAAAAAGTCCATCTGTCTATAATATCACACATTATATATAATTTTTCAGTTGTATCCATAGTTTCCAATGTCATGGTTCCTGTCAAATTACTGAGCTGTATATGCTACTTTTTTTGAAACCATTATCTTGTCCTACAGAACTTCCATGATCAAGGCTCAAAAATAGTAACTGATTATTCAAATGATGATGTGGAATTTATTGATGATTATCCTTTTGGTGAAGAACAAGATATAACAATCCAAGAAGATGAGGATGGATCTAAAAGTAAAGATAATTCTCTCAATGAAGAAGAATTACTCGACCCTAATTATATTCCTCCTGACAAACAATATACTGATGTTCTGAAAGAGTATTTTGGCCATTCAAAGTTTAGGCCGTAAGTATAAACTATTTTTCAGTCGATATTTGTTTTAAGTGTTCTGTAAAAGTTATACTTTAGATTAGCAACGATTCACATCATAATTTATCAAACTGATCCTCCTTGCTATTGTTATTAAAGTACGGTAGTTTATTTACTTGACTGTGCAATCGTATCCAAAAATTTTAACCGCATGAAATTTCTCGCAAGAAATTTCGCAGCATTTAAAAATTTGTCGCATGAAAAATAGCCGCAATGGCATGTTGCTCAAGTCCGGCTTCTGTTAGTATTTTATGTTTGACTTCTTTCTCATTATGATTTAATATTAGACTCACTGCCTCAAAGGTGACGCTGCTCGGTAACCATCTCTGGTTTATCGCGTCTCCTTTCACACTGAAATGCATTTTTTTATTTTTTTTTATTTTGTTTGTCAATGTTTACATTCGATTTGTGATAAAATAAACTACTGACTGACTGACTGCTGTAAAACAAGTATTTGTGATAAGAACAGTTAGGTTTATAGGGTTAGGGTATGCTCTTACATAACAAATCTTGATGAATTTGTAGAAAAAATTGTCTTAAATGGAAGGGGTAGTTTGGAAATCTTTGATTCAAACTATCTTTCCATGACCGCACTAGAGAAAACTTAGTTACCGGTAGAATAAATTTGTTATCAAATTCTACAATTCCAAAATGTATAAAACAAATTCTTTTTCCTTAAAATTTTTTCTCTTCGGTTACCATTCTGTAACCTATATTTGATTTTTCATTTTGTTTTTACTAAAAGGATGCAATGGAAAATTATAAATGCAGCATTGAATGAGGGCAGAGATCAATGTGTTGTTATGGCAACAGGTATTTTGCTTATTTAAAGGTTAATATCAATGTTTTATATTGATGGTGATGGATTTACCCTCATATATTTGTGAATGAATGGGTTCATTCCTAAAATGGCCTATTCCCAACAAATTGCTTAAATAATGTGCATTGTATTTGTAGATTAGAGACCTTGTTTTTCAGGTCCGGTAAGTGTGCCAATGCCATTAATCAATGTAATGTATGAGTCCACAGCACACAGTGAATGAGTCACGTCAGGCTAATCCTACTTATTGCTTAAAAGCAGTTGCTTTCATGAGACTAGGAATAAACTTGTGAAACATGATGATTCGATAGAAAAATATTTGTAACTGCTGTATTCCTATCATTTCTTATAAATTTACAAAATTTTGTTGGGACGTTCCTCATATACACTATATCATTATTTCTCAAATTTCAGACCATTTTCAAAATTTTGTTTTTACAGTTTTATCTTAAATTATTCTATAAAATGTATACATATTTTACTTTCTCATCCAGGCTATGGCAAAAGTTTGTGTTATCAATTTCCACCGGTATACTTGAGTAGTACAGCAGTATGTATATCACCTCTGATATCGCTGATGGAAGATCAAGTTTTAAAATTGGAAACTAATAATATTCCTGCTTGTTTTCTTGGTTCTGCACAAGAGAATACTGCAGAAGTTTATAGTGCAATGATGAGGTATTATTTGATTACTTACTCAATAAACTGCGGTGGAGGTTTTAATCATTAAACATGGGGAAAACTTTTTGCTTTAAAAAGCTTTTTGGTTTTGCAATACGGTTGTTATATTTACATCATTGATGTTTATTAAAGGAGTTGGTGTTACAATGATATGATGTAAATATAACAACTGTATTGCAAAACTAAAAAGCTATTTTAAGCATTAATTTTTCAACATGAATTAGCGGCTGAAAACTCTACCACAGTTCACAAATTGAATTTTGTATCAGTTTCTCTAACTTAGGTCAGACGGGGTATTAATAAAAAACAGAATTTTCCTTCGAATATAGAGAAACAAAGATTTATTGTTGTGTTAGAGGTGCAAATAGATAGGCTACTAATGTTAAAAGAGGCAATTTCTGCTTATGCTCCAAACAATTCTCCGTCGAAGCAACTAGTGATATCCTTGGTATATACTGTTTGTTGGAACAGAAGCTTCTGAGTTTGGCATTTGTCATCAAATTAATTACACTTTGGGTGAGATGGGGAAACAGGTTTAACAAATAAAATTTCACAAAAAATTGGGAGCTGGACAGTGAATGTCTGAGAAGTTTTTACTTTCAACAATTACATTTGTATCAAATTAAAAATAAACGGTACACCTGAAGGATTTGTACCACGATGGTGGACACCGGAACGTAGGATGTGTGCCAGGCTTGAGTTAGGTCATAATTTTATTCAAAGTTTCCCTATTTTAGTTCTATTATGACTCAAATGAGTTTGGGGTCTAGCCAAGCGACTCCCGTAGTATTTGTACCTGAAATTATGGTCTAACCCTGATCTGGTACACGTACTACGTTCCGCTGTCTGCCATCTTGATACGCATACTTCAAGAACATCAAATAAACTAACCTTCATGGAGTAACTTGTAAAATGATGCTTATATAATCAATGTTATATTTGTTCCAGAGGAAAATACAGAGTTGTTTACATAACTCCTGAGTATGCTGCTGTTGCATCATCTAATTTGAGGGAATTGAGCGAGAGAGTCGGCATTTCACTCATCGCAATTGATGAAGCTCACTGTGTATCACAATGGGGTCATGATTTCAGAGATTCTTACAGAAAACTCGGGCAATTGAAGCAATTACTTCCAAATGTAAGTTGTTGCTACAAAATTTCAATTTTTATTTCAAGTGTTACACTTCAAATGTAGAAGGTTACAACAATATGCCACTTTTGAGTCTTGCCTTTTTATTTTACTTACAAGCTGATGTCTTAATAATACTGATCTATTTGAAAAATTTGGCTGCATTTTGACTGTGTGCTGTATCAGGGAATATTCCATTGAATACTAGAGGAACTACAGTTGCAATCATGTAAAAATGTTATCTTTTGGGCTCATTTTAACAGTAACTGTTTTCTGGTTTTTACTCAGCTAAATTATATACCAGTTCATGGAACATAATATACTGATAATCCAATTTTTAAATTTTTTCGATGTTAGATTCCGGGAATAAAACCAAGATAAAAACTATATTTTAATATTCTGTATCAATTTCTATTTATTCCTATTCATTGTAATGATGGTCAACCAAAAAGATTCTGATATTTTCAAAAATAGTAGCTATTTATGTTGCTGCAGGGTGGTGTGAAGAAGCCTCTTAAAGATCCATCTTGATGATATTCTTTGCTAAATATCGTTTTAATAGATTATATTTCAATCATTTTTTAAATTCTGGTTCACGGTTTATTCAAGCCTTTTGTAATACTAATAAATACTTTTAGGTTCCTATATTGGCTGTTACTGCAACTGCTACTCCGGAGGTTCGGAAAGATATTTGTGCATCTTTGAAACTTAAGAATCCAGTAATCACTTTGACAAGTTTTGATCGGTAAGTTGGAAGACCTTAGTAGAAGTTGTCTAACATCTGTCAATAGCTAAAGTAAGTTCTGCTGGCGCTTCAGAGAAGTATGTGTACCAATATGGAGGTAACTAATTTTGTTCACCTACTTTACATCAAGTTGTGTAAAGGGGCGGAAGCCCATTGGCAAGGGGTGTATATTCACATGGCTAACACAAACAGTCCCCAAACTCGTAATAGAACTAAAATAAGGAAAATCGGAATAAAATTTTGGCCTAACCATAACCTGGTACACATACTACGGGAGTACCGTTCTGTTTATGCAAAGTGATATCAAATGTAATTTATTCTTCATTTATTCAAACATTTGATACATTTCGGATAACCCTGAAAAGTATTTATAAGATTCTGCTTCTAAATGAATCAATCAATATAAGGAATAGATTTATTGTAAAAAATTGTAGAGATGCAAATTATATGGTAATGAATATTATCCTGTCTTGTTATTCCAGTTTTGAAATTTCAAATTTGCAATTATTTTCTTTTTAGGGTCAATCTCTATCTTGATGTTTACAACAAAACGAGTGACCCAGCTTCTGATCTACGTTCTCTTATGATACAAAAATCAGTCAGAGGTGCCATCAGATATGAATTTGATGGCCCAACAATCATATATTGCCCTACCAAAAAAGTATGTCTGATTTTTTTTCGAAATATAAATTTTATTCAAATATATAGATTTGAGTTTTTTGTAATCTTCATTTGGCAATCGTTTTATCAATTTTTTTTTCTAAATCTCCTGACTGTGATTTCAATTTTGCAGGAAACTGCCAGAATTGGCTCTGTGGTTAAATCACTTGGGGTGAGGTCAGCAATCTACCATGCAGGTAACTCCAGTCATCAATTTTTTTTTAATGGCTTTGCTATTATCATTTGCCTTCAAATCTAGTTTTTAGATTTTTTGCCTATCTCCTTTTCTATTTACTTAAATCATTCCAAATATTCCAGGTATGTCAATGGACAGAAGAAAACAAGCTCATCATAGGTTCATGAGGGATGAGTTACAGGTGATAAAATTTATTACAGGGTTTTAAAAAATGAGTCTCTCAGACCTTGCTCATATAGTGGAGTGCTTTAGAGTGTTGTATCTATCTATGTGAGTGTATCTATGTATAGTATCTATGTGAGTTTTAATCTTATGTCCACCACCTCATCTCAGACAATAGCTTTTTATATAAGTGACTTGTACAAAGCCTTTTTCAGAGTGAAAGTCTGAGTGCCCTTTGCCCATAAAGAAAATGGATCTAGCATGTGATTAATGGAATTGCATTTCAAATTTAAAAGATCAAATACTTTTGTCTACATAGATTGACCATATATCGAATTCTTTTTTCTTTAGTGTATTATTGCTACTGTTGCATTCGGTATGGGAATAGATAAACCAGATGTAAGAAGAATTATACATTATGGAGCTCCTAAGGATATCGAAAGTTATTATCAGGTCATATTATTATTCTCTCTAACTACAAATATTTTTCCTGATTTTTTTTTTCCAGACTGGTATTCATACATATAAAAGAAAATTATATGCGTGAATTGCGTTCAAATAAGAATATAATTCTTTGTAAAAACAATCTGAATTTTTTTAATTTTCTACTTATCTCCTATTTTTGCACTTTCTCTAATAACATGAGAAACCAAAAAAACATAACAAAAACAAACAAACAAAATTCATATTTACTTGGGAAGAAGATGGATGTCCTCTATAATGCCAGTCTTCGATGATAATTTGTTTGTATTTTTATGGCTCATGTCAATATTATAGCTATGGTTGTGGTTGTTTCGACTTTCATCTTTAAACTTTCTTTTTTCGAATTTCAGGAGATAGGTCGAGCAGGAAGAGATGGATTACCATCAAGTTGTCATACATTTTTTACATCTGGTGATTTTAACACAAACAGGTACTTTGAATGAAAGTTAAGTTATATTTGTACTTTTTACTCTCATACTGATTAAAGTTTCAAATTCCATTGTGATGAATACTGATAACTTGATATTGAGTTTTGTTTATGGCACTGGAAAATGGAAATTATATCATAAAATTGAGCAAAAGGGGTTCGAGAACATGCTGTGTGAACCTATTAGCAATTTGTATTTTGTATCAAAATGCATGTTTTTTCTGTGTTCGCAAAATTTGAGATTTCGCTATGAAAATTGTAAAGCAAGTCCAAAAAGTGTTACATGATACTAAAAATCAGTATTGAATTTGCTCAGATGGATGTGGGGAGTCAAATTTTTGTGAATAATACTTTCAGAGCAGCTATTTTCTGGGTGAAATTTTGCTAGTGCTTTTTTTTCTCAGATTTTTTCTGCGGGATATATCAAATCCCAAATTTCGGGATCACAAGGCAGCAATGATTTTAAAAATGGAGAATTATCTGGCAACAGTTGGATGTCGACGAAAATCAGTTTTATCTCATTTTGATAAAAGAGCTCAAAGTAGTATTGCTGGAACAGAAAAATGCTGTGACAATTGCAAAAGAAGGTTTGCACCTAACAATTTATTTTGAATGAAATTTGAAATTAATGCTAAATATAACAGAAATATCTGTTTCGTTTTGTTTATTTAATTTTTGCCATCTTGGGTGAAAAGTTGTGATTTTTATCAGAGTTTGTAAACATATCGTATTTTAACTACGAATGTTTAGACTCTTTGAAAATAGTCCAATATACGTGGTCCCGTGGATACCAGTTTTGTTAGTCTGTTATTAGTTTGGGAATGTTTTACCTCATTCAAAATCTTTTGGCAGGCCGAATTGTGTTATTTTAAGTTAATGTGTTTATTTGCAGAATAGAGAATCAGAAAAAAAGTGGTGGAACTGTTTGTTATGACATTACAGAGGGCTGTGAGGAAAAAAATTTTGGGGATGAAGCAAAACAAATGTTCGAGGCAATCAAAATTACTGGGGAGAGATTTGGACTTGGAATGCCAACTTCATTTTTGTCTGGATCAGTATGTCAGAAAGATTTTGGAAAATGAGCGTCTTTGTAAATAATAGTTTGGGAATGAATGATTAGACTATATTCAATGCCATAACGCTTCATATTAACTAGCCTGATGTAGTAACTGTTGTCTGTAGTTCAACATTTTACTTAGGGTATCTGAATAATCACTTATCAGCTGATGACTTCAGCGGTTCTAGGAAAATTCGCCTCAGAAAATTTTGCTGCATACTGCATAGGAAAAATCCCCAGATGAAAATACTCCACAAGAGCATTTGGCGGTAAAACAAGTATTTGTGATAAAAACAGTTAGGCGTTTGAAGTACCTTTTTATTTAAAAAAGGGTTCGTTATTTAAGAGCATAACCTAACTCTATCACAATCACAAATACTTGTTTTTACGCCAAATGCTCGATTATGTGAAATTACAGAGCATGACAAAAAATTCTTTATTTAATTTCTGAAAACTGAAAGCCAATCAAACCTTCATTTATTTAAACTGTAATATCCTCTATCAAACTCATTGAATTTACATTAGCATCTATGCAGTGGCGCAACCAGCGGGGGGGTTACGGGGGTCGTGTCCCCCGTTTGAAATTCGTTTTTTTTTCTTAACGTCGTTCTACGGTCATAACAATCCGGTGAAACTACTTTTTTCCAGTGCTTTATCACCTCGACGTAATTTAACACCTCCCGACTTCACTCATACCATTTTGCTGTTAGTTACGTAATAATCGCTATCCCCGCGTATATGTTTGTATTCGAAAATGAGATATGTTACCTCAAAAAAGTAGAATACGCGCGCTGTCGATGCGAATTGAAAGGGACAATAGCATAATGCTATCTCACTCTCTCTTGTGACGAATACTCTCGTGCTTCATCATCTTGACGCAATGTAACGCCGCTCGTCTTCATGTTATAATAATGCAGTAGAAACTCCGAAAATCTGGTTACGAAAATTATTTTCGGAAAAATATTGCTTCGATTAACCTAAGATTTTCTACATATGAAAGGCCGAAAACCGAAAACGCCGTACACATCCTACCGCCCCCGTCCACGTTCTGATTTAAAAACATTTCACAATTATTCTATTTTTTATTGCAATCGAAAGCAGCCATGTGTGGCACGGCAATAACTAACAGTCGTCAGGAAAGGTTTTTAATAAACTCCGACTTGAAGTGCTTATAAGACGTCGAGGACGTTTTTGGTTGAACATTTTTTACATTTGTTATCGTATATTTTAATTTGGTCAAGATATGTTGTGCGCCTCGGCAAATCCTGCCCTAATTAATTGTTTTTATCCTCAGTTTCGATAGTTATCGAACTTAACGGGAAATTTTTCAATTTCTTGCAATCTATAAAATGGCTTCAAATATTATTTGGTTTCTATCGGAGATTTTATCGTTATCCCGACGTCGTTAATAACAATATCGTTTATTTTAAGTTGGAGGTATTGGTTTATAATCAAAAAATTATAACACATAACATGAAAAATTTAAATCAACGCCGACTCAAAAAGTAAAACACGTTTTTCCATCTTTATTCTCCATTATTGGCGGACGGAAATTTGGGAATCGGGTTTAACTAATTTGATTATGATGACGATGGTAAACAAAAGTAAACAAACATACCATACCGTTCTTAGTTTTTAGTCGTTATTTCTGTGTCCTTTCTTCTTTCTATGTGCATATTTAGACCATAAAACGTGTTTTATTTTTGAACTCAGCGCTGATTTGAATATTTCATGTCGATGGTTATGTATTTTTGTTTGTAAATGAATACCGCTAACTTAAACTGAACGATGTTGTCATCAACGCCGGATGCCGACGAAATCCGCGATAGATCGAAACTGAGACTATCTGTCACTATCGAAACTGAGGATGAGAACAACTAATTAAGACACAATTTGCCGAGGACGCCTAAACCATCTCGACAGTGTTCCCCCTACGGTGTGCGCGTGTGCGCGCGCACACAGCTTTCAGAGGCTGCACACACGCATAGATTTACTGCGCACAGACGTATTTCGATGTAATGTAACAATGTGCTCGGTTGGCAGATGGAGAAAGTTTGTTGTTGGCCCACTTATTACCCGGTTAGAACGCCAAAATTTCTTCATTGGTTTTTGCACAAATATTAGTCATTTCCAAAAAAGTGCGCACACACCTAAATTTCTGCGCACACATACTACAAAAAATTAGAGGGAACATTGCATCTTGACTAAGTTAAAATACACGATAAGAAAATATTTTCAATCGAAAACGTCCTCGAAGTCTTATAAGTTCTTCAAGTCCGCGTTTATCGAAATTCTTCCATGTCAGCTGTAATAAATTGCTGAACCACACATGGACGACGACGCTAGGATATGTGCGCCATATTCGGAATTATTATAAACACGAAAAAACAGTATTTGAAGTTTGCGATATTTGAGTTTAAATTCGATTTGGTCATCCCTGCAATAAATTAGTCAGTTTTTAGTTGCAATTCCAAAAATTAGTTGTAAATCAAGTATTTTAATTGTCATTATGTCTTTCGGTGAGCTTCAGTTTAGTTTAGAATTTTTCTGGGGTTAGGGTCGGGAAAAGGTCCATTCGCAAGAAGTGCATTTTGTTTTTAGTCTTGACGAATTCATCTAACGAGCAAGGCGCGGCACGAGGGAAACACTGGAATTTATTCAAATCGTGTTTCACTATCCACGAGGCGCAAAGCGAGGGAAACGTTGAAAATAATTAACAGCTTTTCGTTAGCAATTCGCTGGAATGTAATGAACGGCGTTTTGCTACCCACGAGGTCCGAGACATAGCGAAGCGCCGTTAATGAACGAGGGCAAGGTGAGCGAAAGACTGGGATTTAATCGATGGCGTTTCCCTTTTAACCACGAGCAATTTATCGTGTTTCAGCGGGGCGACACCTAGTGGCGTTGCGACTTACGTCGTGGTTGCACTGTGTAAATTCCGGTCGGACCCCCCCGTTGAAAATGGCCTGGTTGCGCCACTGCATCTATGTGCTTTATTGGAATGTATTTGATATTCCATATTCAACTGTTATTGTTATTATTCAGTTTTGGTCAACCCTGTGCGATAAATAATCTCGCTTAATTCACCAGATAGAATAATCCAAATGCCATTTAATAATCTGCGATTAGACAAATAACAGTTAAGATTGCACAGATGAACCCCACATCACCTGAGTAAGCAGGATGCGGAATCTCTAGGTCCTAGGATATGAAGCTTACAACTAGGTGTAAGTCACTGGTTTATGAGAATTCTTATTATTTAGAAAAGCAAGAAAATGTTCGATAGGTTTTTGCGACATGCTCAATTTGGAATGGGTTCTAATCATACACAGAAATGGTGGAAAGCATTGGGGAAGGCTTTATTAAATGCTGGGTATTTGAAAGAAAAACAAATGAAGAAGGGATCTTTTGGTTCACTCGTTGGTAAGTCAAGAAATAACAGAATTTTATCATTATTACTTCGGATTCATAGAACTCTTTCATTAGCTCTGTAAAAGAGATGGAAAGGATATTAAAGTTTGGCTATTTTAGATGCAGTAAGTATTACATTTATCAAGATTTTTTTTTTAAATATATTTTTATTCATTTTTAAGTTTTTGTTTGAATGTTCGTTGTTGTAAAAATCCCTTTCATAAAATTATTATATTATTTGATTCAAATAGGCATTTAAAAAATTGCTTTTTTATTCCAGAAATCAGTTTAAAGGGATCTCAATGGATTAAGAAAAGAACTTTCTCACCGGATTTAAAATTAATGTTGGCACCCACTGTTGATTTGATGGAAAAACAACCAAGAACATCACATGCTACTCCTGTTACTAATCAACAAGTTGATCAATCTGCTGAGTAAAATGATTTGCTTTTTGGCAAAATTAGTTCCATATATTACTATAAAAAAATATTTACCGGGATAACTGCAAAATTCTGACTAATATAATTGAAATTTGAATTATGTATTTTATTAGGGTTTATTTTTTAGGAATTGAATTGCCAAAACTTCTATGTTATTGGGCAACGTTTACCATATTTGAATGAGTCATGATTCAGAATATGGATCATGTACAAAAACACGAACCATTTAAAGCTGTGATGTACGATTCTTAATTCTGGTACATGGAACTATTTTCACTATCCAGTATTGTTTGAAGATAGCATAGAAAAGTCTGTTATAATAAAGATATCCAACCATCTGTCCTGGTGCAACGATTTTGCAGACTGTGCCAAACTGAATAAGTTGATCTTTTGAAATTATTATCACTATAGGTTTGAACTTGATAAGGTATTCTTTTATAATTAGTATTTTCTTTATGAACTCAAATCCTGGGGACATTTCTTATCTATGTACATAGTTGAGATTTCACTGTTTCGATAATATATTCATATATTTTTATTTTCAGGATTTTACCTTCAACACCATACACAGAAATTACGAGAGAACAACTGGACAAACTTACTCTAGGTCCCTATATCACGGATGACAGTGTGAAAAAAATAACATCAACTCAGAACAAAAAGACTGGAGAGAATGATGAACATAGTGGACCATTATATAGTTTGTTACTTTCGTTGAGAAATAATATTGCACATGTATGTATTTGCGTTCAATTTAACTATTTATTAACACTGATTCTTTGTCATTTTTTTATTTATCCTGGAAAGAGGAATGTTATAAGACTCTGGCTTAATCATATGGTAGGTCATTACCACTCGTTCAGTAACTATTCCATGTCGGACTTGGAACAAGTTACCTGTTCAGATGAAAATGTATGGTGGCGTAAGCAGTAACCAATCACTTGTGATTATCTCCATCAGATTTGAACCTGTGATGTCACATAGAGTACAGAGGACATCTCTAACACCCAGTAACATGTACCCAACACCAAGTCATTGACCTAGCCGTATATCATCCATTATTGGCAGTTTGCTTCTATATAAATTATTTTCCCTGTGTCATATTTATAAACATATATATTAATTTCCATATCATATGGTAAATGTCATGTCACTATAACTTAAACTTTTATTTGGGGTCAACCAATTTTGACTAAATTTTGTGAATTGTTCAACCTAGCTATTAGAAGATTTGCCAATGAGCTCCAATAGTCAAAGATTGACATATATTGTTATATTAGAAACTTCCATTGAATATCATTTGTTTAAGAATTTGAAGCTCTGGTATTTAGGGTTGTCCAAAAAAAATCGAATATTCGAATATTAAAGTATTCCAATACTTTTTCAACACATTTTAAAATAATCCAGAAGAATATTGGCCACTTTTCGCCGTCAGCAAGGTGTTTCATTTTCAAGGAAATCTTCAAACGATTTTCTTCGCTTTGTCGCAGGTTGTTTGTTATCTTTTATGTGAACCCACGGCGCATATTGTTGCGACATTCTTACACAGTTGCGTGTTGGATATTGTCGCTATTAGCTATTGTAAGAAGTAGGCTAAACTGAATTTAAAAAGCCAGCCAAAAAAAACTTTATATAATTTTTAAATAAACCTGCTTTTCTGTCAGAAGTGTTTCCTCAAACCAAATCCCCAAGTTTGCTCATTCATAAAAATCTTTATGTGATGTTTCAGGATATGGACATTCCACCTCATCTTGTAGCCAACAACAAAGATCTTCTTGAACTTGCAAAAGTACGACCAAAAGATAAAGATATGTTGTTATTAGTTGATGGAATGTCTGTAGTTAAAGTTAAAAGATTGGGAGAGCAAGTTGTAGCAGGTGATTATATACTGATTTTGTCTCTGGCCAGTGATCTTATGAATACTAAGGTTGATAAACTTTTCATAAATAGTTTTATCATCATCTGTGTATAGTTCATATCTTTGATGAATAGTCAGTTTAAATATCAAACCCAGTTCTCCTGGAACATTTCATTGCACGAAACCCTGTACTCCTGTAGTATGTGTTCCAGGTTAGGGTTAGGCCATAATTTTATTCCGATTTTCTTTATTTTAGTTCTAATACGAGTTCGGGGACTGTTTGTGTAAGTCAAGTGAATATACCTTCTGTCCATAGGCTTCCGTCCCTTTACGCAACTTGATGTGAAGTAGGCGAACAAAGTTAATTACTTCCATATTGGTACACTTCTGTGTACTTCTTCTACTTCTGGAGAGCCCAAAACCCCACCATCTTAATGGTCACTGTCTGTTTCTATATGTGAGCACCAACTATGTTACCATGTTCAAAGCCAAATATAAGCTGGCAATGGGCCATGTCACTATGTTGTGGTTACAAATTTATGTTTAGATTCTCTATTCAGTGCTTCAAACAATCTTCAAAAACAATTTAAGATACTTTTTTCATTATCAGTTTCTATCAGCTGGTATTTTGAGCAGTTGTTTGTGAGTTTGTATAATGAAACTTTTCCCTTAGTTTCTTGGATTATTACTTTTGATCTTGCTGTAATAAAATCTTGCTTCAATTATAATACAATTTTCCAGTTATTCAATCATTTTGTGAAGAACATCAAGCTTCATTTAATAATTTTCCTGAAGAAGACAGCGATCTGGCTTCATCACAAATATCTATTGATAAAAGAGTCAAGAATGAAACAGGAGTTCCCACAAAATCAATGTCTGATACTGTCAAAATCACTTATAATTTGTTTCATGACAGAGGAATGGCATTGGTAGGTAGTTTGATAATAATAATAAGTACTATTACTTGAGTAGAAAGTTACACAAAACCCCTTTTTTGTGTCTCAAAATTTTGGCATCATGTTTGCTGGGTACAATTTCTTCTTATTATTATTAGATACAATAGCACCACATTTCCTAACCTGGAAAGAATTCTTACCAAGGAGAGAATTTATATTTGCTGTAGTTATAATAATATACTCGAGTTCTTACTACTATAATTATTTTTGATGCACTCATTATAAATTACTTGTACTGTACAAAAGCAAGAGTGTTAGTTGCGCATAACAATAGCTTATAATCACCTTAATATTGGGGCTAAGAATCCATTCAAGATCGAATAAATGAAGTAGTAAAAGAAGTAAATAAATAAAGAGTTCTAAAATATCCGAAGATAGGGTTTTAACGAACCACTGTAGCTGCATGTTTAGTTGTTGCAGACATCTTCAATTTCACACTGAAATTGTTATATACAATATATTATGTTACGGCAACTTTTCAGAATTATACTTTTATCATGTGACCAATTTGTGAATTTATAACTTGCCGATACAAGCAGTCGAAAACGTTTTCAGTTTCAGGGACAATCCGTTCCACTGATACTTAATTTTAATCAGTTGAGTTTCAAATTATCCATCCATCATATAAGTAACTGTTGTCGCTTGTTTGAGTGGAGTTGTGGAACACCTGAAAAATCAAAAATTTGTTGTTGCCAACGAGTGTTGATATTTGAATATTGGATCACATATTGGATTAAATGAATATCAATGATTTTTGCATTTGTTTTTCAGGAGGAAATATCTAAAGAGAGGGGATTGCAACTATCAACGTTAGGAAGTCATCTTGCTGAAGCTTTACATGCTGGTCACCCCGTTAATTTTCAACGTCTTGGAATCAGTAAAGAACTGATAAATAATGTTGAAGAAGGAATACGAAAACCACCACTCAATTCTGGTATGTAGGCAGATTTCAGATATTTGGGGAAGATAGTAATTTTTGTCTCTTTCAGAAAACAAGACGACAACTTGAGCTTGGGCAGATTTTTTTTTTCAAAAATCGGCCACAGAAATGCCAAGGAAAATTTGAAAATAAAGATATGTAATGACAGTATAGGAGATAAGTCAATCTGTAAGAAATTGTTATTCGAAAGTGATTAAGGTTCAGTGATTGAGAAAAAAAAATCTTCCATTTCAACAATAAAAAATTTACAAAACAACGTGCTAAAGAATGTGTGTTCATGAACCGTAAATATTATTATTTCTGACCTATATGTAACAATTACCGGTACTTTGTTGCTTTTTAAGCATTTCAGAATGCAAAAAATGCTTGTGCAGCAAGAATTACATCAATGCATAGGAAATAAGATCTTTTAACTGTAGAACATTTTTTTTATACTGATCCAATTTGTCTTATGAATTGTTATGATTTAGATATTAGTCGAGTCTATCCAATCAAGGATCAAGTCACAATGCCAATTGAATGGATGCAAATTAAAATAGTTCGAGCATTTTTGATGATCAAGTATGGAATGACATCTTATGGAATATCAGGAAGCATTTCAAAGAATAATTCTTCTAAAGGGTGAAGGAAAAAGATATTTTTCAGTTTACACTTCACAGTTGTCATTGATTAGCATGTATATTGTACAATGGAATTATGATTTTTGCAGCATATTTGTTCTATACCCGTGTTCTATAGATGGAACATGCATTGACAGTATTTATGGTATATATTTGACAGTAATTTCCACTGCATCTTGTAATGAACCTAAGTTATCGATCTGTCAACATTATCAATTCATTTATTTTTCCTGTATAAAATGGAGTACAAAGTATACATAAAAAATTGCACATAGTTGATTGTAGCTTCCCTGAAAATCAAACTATAGGGAAGTTCAATAGCCTTATACAATAGAATGCCATTCAAGTGGTCATTGGAACCATACCATCCCAATAATGCAGATTCGAGCATTAGCTTGTTGAGAAGATAAATATAGATAATATTAATTATGATAACTTAACAGCGACCCCTTGTTTAGCGCCATTACAGAAATTTTTTCTGCAATTTCAAAACTATATTCATTAAAGCTATAAAAAAAAGTTTATTTTGAAAATATGTTGTCCTACTCAGCAAATTTGTATTTATCAATTTGTGAACATGTTTTTCAGACCTTCACAAACTATCGCTAATCTGAAGCAATTTCAAGCAACAAAAGGAGGCAGACCACACACACAACTGACTTTGAAAGCAGACAGGTATATATTTCTTTATATTCAGTATATCAATGAAATTTAGAAAAGTTGGTAGTGTATACTTTTTTTCACAGTGGAGGGTCAAAGCTCGGTTTAATATCATTATCAGGGGGCGAAGAATTAGCCAGAAGAAAGGCTGTAACAACATCAAGACATTTTTTGACTCCTAATTTAACTAATCCTTCACCTTCATCTCCTGGTGGATTTGCTGACTACGACGACGATGATAAATCAACTTCATATTCTAAGGTATGTTTGTATTTCATATTATTACCCATGTTTGGAGTAAAATAAATTTGTTAAATTAATAATATATTTACGCATTAAATGTATTTAGGCACTTGACGATCTTTGGTTCATGATATCTCCCATGTAACAATATTGCCAATTAAAAAAAATATAGTAGGAAAAGCAAGTGACTTTGTTGAGAATGAAATAATTTAAAGACTTGAAGTCAAATAGAAAACATAGTATCTTAAGTTAGCTTTATTCTATGCCAACAGGTCTTTTTATGGTTGGTTTAACGCCAGCATTTTTTGTTGTATAATCCGTTATTTGTATTGGTATTATATTGGTATCACACATTGTGATACAAAGACTTAATTTTTCATCCCACCCTCTCATTCGCCACTCCTCAGTATGAGTTTTTAAATTTCCAACTCCTTGTTGAATGAATGTTATTTTCTGCAATATAAGTACTTGATTCTTCTCCTATATTATCATTATGATTAGAAGGGATCAACAAAAAGAAAAGTTCCATCCTGGGGTCGAGGACGAGGCTCAAAATTCAACTTTAAACGAAGAAAAACAAATAAAATGTTCTGATAAAAGCACGAAATTGTATATTGCTCAACTTGTGGATGCAAATGATCAATGAGGATGTGAAGTAGTTCGCAAAATTTCATTTATGTGTTTTTGAGTGAGGGAGTGGTTGGGGCTGTAGAGTCTGGGTAAATATAACTCATACCCCGAGTTCTTTTAAAAATCAACTCCCAACTCTGGGTTGACAAAAACTTTCTTCCTACTTTGCAGAATATCGAATTTGCATTTGGGCACCTACCCTCATTAAATCATCAATACCACGCCAAGCACCTACTGGTGGGGCTGCATTTTTTTCTAAATATAAAAAAGAAACTCGTTATCTTTTTTTTTTTTTGAATTCTTTGAAATATACCTCTCACTACCTTCATATTTTGTTAGATTCTCCCTATATTTTGGTTCTTCAACAATCTGCAAATAACTTTTTATATAAATTTATTTTCAGTTTTGAAAGTAAATTGAAGTGTGGTATTTTCTTTCTCCTGGGAAGTGCATGTAATACTATGTTAGGCAGTACAGATATTGTAGTTGTTTTGTTTGTGTAGGGTACAATCGAGTGGAATAGGATAGAGTAAAAATGCCCAAAGTGGGAGTTGGCGGACTTTTCTCATACCTCACATTGGGAATCACCTCTGACTTCAGATCACTGCAGTTTTAACTCGTTAGTACTTGAAAAATCCATTCAGTAAATATTTTTAATGGCTGTTGAATTATGCAAGATATGGGTATGCTTTGCCAGTGCACCACTGAAATCGAACTGCACTTCAGGTATATCCGCTATGGACTTAGGAATCGGTGGGTTTTTCTTTGTCATGATAAAAACGAGAGTCCCGACAGTATAGCTTGTCTGAGTTGTTCTCGGTTAATTCAATTGCTGCCTTATTAAATATTGATAAGGTAGGTAGGTGAATTTTAACTACCTGGTACTTGGAGTCGATGAATCTATTTAGTCCGTTGCCTTCCAACTCGGGGTGGTATCTTCCGTTGTTGCTACGTCCCGCCCGGGAAATATTAAAGTATCTGAAAAATGCAGAATTTTGGGACCAAAGCACAGATAGAAACAGAAATCGTTTTTTCAGATTTATTCTGAGAACGCATGTAAGCAGTGGTGGAATTCAAATTTTTTGTCAACCGGTTCCATCACAAAAGTCATATTTTTCAGGCGGTTCTGTTACAAACGGAACATTGACAGTAACCAGTAGGGCTAATCGGTTCGCTGATCTCATAAAATTCTGTAAGACGGTTCTATAGAACCGGCTGAATCCCACCACTGCATGTAGGTGATCGACCTTGGGAAGATGAGATGTCTTGCGACCAGCGCCGGATTAACCATTAAACAATATAAGCACGTGCTTAGGGCACCATAGAAAATTTAGAGCAGAATTTTATATAGTTTATCGGTGTTTATTAAAATATTACGAGTTCACCAGACGACTCAAACTTCAAAATGTTTGCTTATTGTTCGTCTTCAAGTATCATATTAACCTTCTTTATTAAAAATAAACACTGATCCTTATTTAGGCTATTTGACACGAAATGGTCGTTTTCTTAAATTGTTGTAGTTTTTTCTTCCTAGTATTCTTCTTGTTGCTGCATTTTTGTTTTACAAAAAATTTCTTTTCCCTTCAACAATTGGACCAATGAACTATTTGCACTATGTGGCGGTTTCACGATCGCATTTCAACGATCTAGTGGTTAGCGAAGTCGGGAGTTTTTTGATAAGGTAGACCAGGCCCAAGGTGGTCTAAACCCTGTCATGCTGATACATTGCGTGCGGCCCACAGAACAATTACAGCGTATATTTGTATCTAATAGTAGAACGTTTTTGAGTTTTTTTAGCTATTCCAACTGGGGTCGGCATCTCAAGATTCAAACCCTTTTTTTCTAAAGCTTTGTGCCTTTATTTTAGTAATAAAACTCCTCTGTTTTCAAGCGTGGGCCATGTGACAGTAGTGACGAAACGCAGAGCCGACGCAATCCAGTTTTTTTTAGCTAGGTTCCGAAATACCAACTTAGACGGACTTGGTTGTTATTTGACGATGGCACTAAGCTTGCTCACGCTGCAAGTTTTTATATTACTCAAATATATATATAACAATTCGTAATAAAATGAGTGTCACAAGAAAGGTGACATGAGGAAAACACGGCGGAAACGTATTTCCTTGCCCATCACACAGTGTCTGGTTTGTTTTCAAGTAATATCTGTCACGAAAGAATATAATTTGAAGCGACATTGACCGCGAGATGCGGAAAATACAACGGTAATTCTCGGCAATTAATTTTAAACTGAGGGCTTTATACATCTTTTTCAAAAGACGCCATCCATGCAGCATAATAATAGTCTGATTAGAACGGTAAACTCTCGTTGTTTATTAAAATAAAAGTACGTAAACTCGCGATATTTCGATCACTTTTTTTTTCTCTGACTTGCGGCCCCGCGAGACCTCCTCAAAAGTTTTCGCGGTCCTCCAACCTAGCAACTTTGAACCGCCCTGAGGTAGACTACTAGGTACCGGTAAAATTTCCACAACAGCTGTGACTTGTATCCTTTGGTATTTCGATTTACGTTGAGACTGGAGGCATGAATCTTTATTGTTACACTCCCTCATGATTAGAACTCAACCGATATATCGGCCCGATATTGCGTGTTTGATGATATATATATCATATCGGCAGTAAACGGCCGATGTATATATATATCGGCTATTTATATACAACAGTTAAAAAACCTAAAAATGTTCTTAAAAGTTGTTTTATTTACTTTTGGCTGTGATTATTTTTAATGGATAATACACTAATGTGGTTTATTGTTTTTATAATCAAATTACACATAAGGAGGCACCAAAGTCTTCAGTGCTTGGGGGCACCAAAGGGGCATAATCCGCCCCTGCCTGCAACCCTCTAGCACAGTGTTTTCTCAGTTTTGGTCACTGATCATTTTTGAAGCAAGATGAAATGTGGTGGAATCAAATGAACGTTGATTTATTGGTTATTTTAATTAGGGAAACTCTAAAAATACCGTTCAACGCTTAACATTTGCAACATTAAACGAGAGCTTTGCCAGTTTGTCAAAATTGGAGTCAATGGGCGTTACAGCGCATTTGGTGTCGTCTTTAGGTTGGAGCTGATTGCGGAGTAAAATATCTAACTAAACTGTTAATTGTTTAAATGACGTATATATTATACTGATGTGTTTTTTTTCATCTTCAAACCAACAATGTAAGCCACTATTAAATTCATTAGTGTTTTTATTGAAATTTTGAAAAGTTGGCAATCCTACTTGTATGTAACTAAATTTTGAATTTAAGAGTTATTTATATGCGACGCCACATCGAAAATATTATAAAGGCTCGCAATGTGTCACTGTGCAGACGAGCCTTCTTAGTGGAAAAGCATGCGATCTCTCGTCGTCTGAATCCGGACTTGGTTTGTTAAAATGTCTTCATAAATGATGAGTGTTGCTTGTCCATACAACGTCGCACAGCTACTAATAGTTTAATTAATTTGAGGATTACGAAGTCACTCATTGTTAAGTCTTTTTGGCTTTGATTATTATCCAAGTGACTGCGCCCTTGGCTCGATTCATTTTTTAATTTGTGTTTAAAATAGAATTCGACCTGGGACGCCTTTTATCAGACTTGAGCGAGTAGATCATTTACTTCTTTGTCGACTAACCGCAAAAGATAAGTAGGGCCTATATTGCGCTAATACGTATTTTCGCAGTGGCGGCGCGTCAATAGGGCCAACCGGGGCAATGCCGGTTGTGGTGGTTTTTTCGGTATAATAAAAAATATTCGAAAAATACCTCAATATCGGTTGCACAGACTGTCTACACTAGCCATATTCTCCCGACATGGTTCATTTTTCGCTCGCAAAGCCTTCGTCGAACGTCGACGGGGCGACGCCGATTTTGCCCCGGTTGCTCATTGTATATCGTATTCTCTCTTTTATCTTCCACTCGCCGCGTTTGTTTTCTGTTTCTTTTACTAAATCATCGGGGCCGATCGGGGCTAGCCCCGAAATCATGACGACACAATGCCGACGTTTCTTACAACAACGTGTTGACATATTCAAGCATTCCTTCTCGTTCGTTGGTTGCTTGAAGAGTTGATAGTTTCCTCGCCTTCGTTCTTGTCGCTTGTTTCGCTATTTGAATCAGTTAGAGACCTTTAGTCCATTTGCTTTCGATTTTCCACATTCCTTTTGAGCTCCTCACTTTATTCCGGCTTCGCATTTCTTAGCCTTAGACCTCATAATGGATAAGGTTGATGCACTACTTCGCACTCCGTTTTCGCAGCTGCCGCTGGAACAAAAACTAGAGGTACAACGTCTTGGGCCTTATCAACCAAAAAATTGTTCACTGGAACAATCCCGTGACGGAGGAAAGCGTCGGCGTACATTCTGCGCAGAAACTTGGTATAAAAAACACGAATGGTTGTGTTACAGCGAGGACAAAAATGCACTTTTTTGTTTTTATTGCCTACTTTTTGCTACCGCCCGTGACTCACGTTGGTGTAAATTTGGTTTTAGAGATCTTAAACATCTTTCCGAGCGTGCCAGGGATCATCAATCTTCTATGGAGCATCTGGATAATGCAGTAAAATATCGAACATTCGGAAATGTTAATATTGCAGCACAGTTGGATGAAGGACGCGCGGTTTCTATTCGTCGGCACAACCAAAACGTCGATGTTCTCGGTCGATTGATAGATGTTTTGAAGTTCATTGGTTGTCACGAGCTGTCCCTCCGTGGGCACGATGAACGGGCTGGCTCTTCCAATAGGGGGGTATTTTTGAATATGGTGGAATACACCGCATCCCTAGATACAGTATTGAGAGATCATCTTGATGCCGCAACTGTTTCGAAAGGGACATCTAAGGATATCCAAAATGATTTGCTCGACTCAATGTATAAAATTTATTTACAACATTTGGCTCTGAAAATTGAGAATTGCCAGTTCCTTTCGATTCAGTCTGACGAGACAACTGACATCACGTGCGTTTCCCAACTGGCTGTGATTTTTCGGTTTGTGAAAGATGGTAAACCTACCGAGAGATTTCACAGCTTTGTACCAATCGTTGATCGCACGGCTTGCGGGATATCGGCTGTACTAAAAGAAGTGTTACAGCCTTACAACGCGAAGTCAAAATTGATAGCTCAAACTTATGACGGCGCGGCAGTCATGAGTGGGTCGAAACATGGTGTTCAAGTTTATATAAAAGAAGATTTTCCTCATGCGCATTTTTTACATTGTTATGCACACCAATTTAACCTCGTTATTAAAAAAATGTGTCTTGATACCCCTCTCGTCCGTATATTTTTTGCAAATGTTTCAGTCAAGGCTAATGGATGGAGCGTCTGTGCAGTCGTGTATTTCAGACTTCTGCGATGCTGTATCTCGTATCCGGGAAACAATAAAATACGACGACACATGGAGTGCTTCTTTACGCCGCGGCAAACAACGCAGCGTTTGATTTTGTCTGCAAAGGAATGCTGTGACATTCTGGTGAATCAAATAGGCGATCGTCTGCGCACTGAACACCTTGCCGCGTTCTCTTTGATGAACCCCAAAAAATTTTCAAAATTTGAACGTCAATTTCCCATCCATTTGTTGGCTACTGTCTCCAAATTTTACCCCATGATAAATGTGGGTAAATTGGAAAATGAATTGCGATGTATATACACCAATCAAACTTTTTTGAACATCACATCAACTTGCGCGCTCT